GTTTGAGCCTGGTATCCTATAAATAAGATTTTGTTGTTTTGAAACAAGGTCCCACTATGTAGCCCTGGCTGGGATGCCACACCTGGCATAAATAAGCTTTTAAAAGTTATCTTGCTGAGTGTGATGGCTCACACTTTTAATCCCAGCACTCAGGAGGCAGAGGCAGGTAGATCTCTGTGAGTTCGAGGACAGCCTGGTCTACATAGGGAGTTCCAGGACAGCTGGGGCTACAGGGAGACCCTTTCTCAAAAAGACTGAAAAAAAAATGCTGTGGCAGGCAGATCTCTGTGAGTTCAAGTCCAGCCTGGTCCACACATGGAGTTCCAGGCCAGCTGTGGCTACGTACTTATACCCTGTCTCAAAAAAAAAAAAAAAAAAAAGAGTACCTTGTATTTATGAAAAAACAAAAATATTGCTTTGTATTGTTAAATGTATATGTATATTCTCTTAAAGTGCAGTGTTCCTCAAAAGCAGAAATCATGGTATTTTTAATTTGTGTCTTCCTCTTACAACACCCAAAACAGTATGCTTAGCTTCTCTGTTAAATATTTTTAATGAATATTCAGAAATTTAAGTCCCCCACATGGATTAGTAGCTAGTTATGTTAGGCAGAGGCTTGACTTTGTTACTGTCTTTTAGAGGTGAGAAATTGAAAAAGAGTCATCACAGGCTTGTGCTCCAGCCAAATCCCAGTCCTGAGGTGAGGAGCCCCTCAATTATTCCCATTTGTCTGTATTCACTGCAGCCTCCTGACAAGGCCATCTGGGAGGCCCTCAAAAATGTCATTTGCTCACCAGCTGCACACCATGGCGTGTCCACTCTCCAGAACCTCTGGTCATCAGCCTCTTTGCTGATGCATCTGGTGGTAATGACTTATTCCCAGCGGGGACTGAGGGTTACAGTCATATAAAAGTCAGGGAAGACACTGCTGCTGTTCAGGGCATTGCTGATTATTATAACAAAAGCCCATAAAAGCTTTAAAAAAGGAATTTTCCTATAACAGTACTGTAACTGAACGTCCCAGGTAAATAGAGGCTATTGAGCTTCAGGGCAGCTAAAGAGAAATATTTGCTTGTTTCTCTATTGTAGCTTGGCACTGCCAAGTAGAAGGAGCCAAAGTTCATAGATTCTAAAATGAACATAATTACATGCAGAATTTCTTCAATGACTTTCTTCTCTAAGCCCAGTTTGGCTGCCTTGTGAGATGATTTTCTGCTTATTTAATCACTTAAACCTCCATTCATACCTGCATTATTACAGAAAAAAGATGGCTTTATATAGCCAAATAACACATAAGGAAATTGCAGCAAGATGGTAACCAAACATATTTCTTTCTTTCTTTCTTTTTTTTTTTTTTTTTTTTTTTTTTTTTTTTGAGAATTTGTCTCTTTTCCCCCCA